GACTCAAATGGTAAGAATGTTGGCTAAGTTGATACTGTGGTCCATGCTGCAATTTTTCAAGAACTATCAGATTGATAGCCTTGAGGTTCACTAGCTATTCCCAATATGCATTACTATTATTTGGAAGATTAATTTATCTGATTTTAGAAAATTCTCATCTTTTCCTCTACTGCCACCACATGGATCGCCTCCTTCTTTCTGTCTGAGGGTTTCAGAGGAATTATAGAAGTCTTTTGCTCACAGAGGATGACTTATGATTTTGGTGATCCTGCCCTGACATTTCCTCTAATCAGCATGAATCTGACATTTGTGAGTTTGCATGAAACAACTACTGGGGTGGCACAATTAATATGCATTAACAAATGCCTGACTTTTTTTAAGGCTTTAACGCTAATAAGAAAAAGGTTGAGTTCAGTCATGATTACTTATTATATTTATGTACATAATCACAGAGCTCACACTGAGTGCCAAATCCCACCCACATTAGATGCAATAGATTCATTCCTCACAACATGTGTACTATTTCTGTGATTGCAGTTGGATCTGAATGCTACCAAATTATTCTAATTGTGTGGGTCATTCTTACAACAAATTCACAGGTCATTACATCCAATTATTTATGCACTTTCAAAGACTAAAATGATAAAATGCCTTGTAGTATTCATACCCAATGAACCTTTTTATATCTTGTCACTTTCACAACACCCTGTAGAACCATTCTTCTCTGCAAATACAACTGCAAGTTCTTTGGGGTATGTTTAACAGCTTCGCAAATCATAGAGATTGACATTTTTGCCATTTTTTTTTTTACATGGATTAAATAGAGAGCCACTGTGAAGATAAATGTTAAAGTTTTTTTAAATTCTCAAGTAGATTTAGGTCTGAGCTTGATTGAGCCTTCACAACACATGAAAAAGCTTAGATCTTAACCAATCCATTGCTGCTCTGACTAATGTTTAGGGTCATTGTCCTGCTGGGAGGTGAACCTTCAGCACAGCCAATCAGCATTTCAATGTTGCCCAAAGAGTTCAAATTTTGTCTAATCTGACCCGAACACCTTCTTCCACATTTCTGTAGTGTCCCACTATGTCAATATATAACTTTAAACATGACTTCTCATGTTTTTGTAGGTTGGCATTTCTGCAATTCTAAGTCAGTTTTCATATAATTGATTAAACAGTTCTCTGTGACATGTTGAAAGCTAGAGCTATTCTTTTTTAACCTAATACTGCTTTAAGCCTCTTCGCTGCTCTATCCCTGACCTGTCTGTTGTGTTCCTTGATCTTAATGATGCTGTTTGTTCACTCATGTTCTTTAACAAACCTCTGAAGCCTTCACACATAAGCTCTGGTGATGCTGAGATTAAATTAAACACAGGTGGGTTCTTTTTACTAATTGGGTGATCTCTGCAGGCCGCTGGATATTATTATTTAGGATTGTCATAGTAAAGCAGTCTGAATACATACACATACCACACTTTTTATTTGTAAAGAGTATTTTTTTAGGCCATGTACCATTTTCCTTCCAATTATGCTCTACTTTGTGTTGGTCTATAACATAAAATCACCTCTAAAATATCTAATAATATGAACAATATCCATAAGTTAGGAATACAACTTTACCTGTAAGTACATATTAACACTTAACCCAAGAAAACAAAGTAGAAGACAGAACAATCATTTGTTGTCATCAAACAGCTATCTACCAGACATGCTGATGGGAGTGAGGATGGAAAAGGTCAGGTTCATTGCTTATTATGCAACAGAAATCTGTTTAACCACCTCAGTCTTCTTGCAGTGGACAGTAGGTTGTTGTCTGTCAAATTCAATTTCAAGGGAGTGAGATGCTGCCGTGGTGTGCAGGTCGAAGCAATTTCCTTAGCAATAAATCTCAAATAACATACCACAGAGCATTTAAAAGCTCTCCATCAGCTAATAACAATGCCGTTTGCCTTTCCAGACTCTTGTTTAAGTTGCTACTTGCAGCTCTCCACCACCTTGCTAACACATCAACATCAATCATTCCCTTCTGTTCCCTTGTTACTGTTTGCCCATTAAAAGCAGACACCAGTCAATGAAATCCATCTGTAGAAGAGGTCATGTCTACGCAATTATGGCATATGCTCCGTGGGCCCACACAGGATCTCTACACAGTGTCAGCACTTTTATGATTGGGACCCAGAAGATTGTCAGAATTGGCCTTTGGGCTAATCTTTGTAGTCAACTTTTCTATCAGGAAATCATTATGGCGTAGCAACTAAAATGTCAAATTAACACAAAAGGAGCATTTGTGCTAATGCAAAGAACTGTAAGGGCTGCAGTGACTGACAGGATGTCATTTCTTTATGTATGGATGTAACACAGGCACACAGGATTAAAGCTGTATTTTTGAAAATGACACAATCTAAATTTGAAGTCTGAGCATATTAAAGCCTAGAAAAAATAACCTGCTCCTGACTATGATGTTAACTAGGTAAATGCAGCATCTGTTTACCATCAAGATATGTGTAAAAACCTAAAATACAACAGTAACTAAAGGGGAGATAGGCAGGTGGTGCTAATTAAATGTGATTAAATGATCATCAGCAAGCATAATCACTTCTAGAAAATAGAACTTTTGTCAGTGTTGGTCCTGAGCATTCATATGTCTAAGAACACAAAGCCAAGAAGAAACGTTGTTAGCCAAAATCTTATTAAAGGAATTATTGCTGCCTTTCAGTCTGGTAAGGTTTAGAAAGTATTTACAACCAGTTTGAGTCCATCATCTGATTCACCCACAAAACAAAAACATTCAAGTTCCCAATTTTTCCAGCCCAAAGCTACTAAACTATTTAACAGCAATTACTAAGCTGCTTTTTTACAGTTCATGCACATAACTAAAAGAACAAACACATAATTTATTTAAAAGGGCAGGCAGGAGAAAACTTTTTTCTTGTTAACGAAATCAAGACAGGACTGCTTTGATTTAAACAACAGTGTCTCCTACCCTTTGAAAATACAGGTAGATCTGAAAAATTTAGAATATCATGAAAAAGTTCAAAATTTTTTGTTACTTATTTCAGACAGTCAAACTCTTATATAGATTCATTACACATAAATTGAAATATTTTAAGCTTTTAAGTTTGATGATTATGGCTTACAGGTAATCCATCTATCCATCCATTTTCTATACTTCTTCTTCCATACAGGGTCACGGGGAAGCTGGTGCCTATCTCCAGCGGTCTATGGGCGAGAGGTGGGGTACACCCTGGGCAGGTCGCCAGTCCAACGCACGGCAACGTTTGCTGGCCAATCAAGCACAGTAACACCAGGGTTATTGAACAAGCTTCTGGTACTTTTAGCAGCGTAGGTGGGTGCCAAGTCTTGCTAGAAAATAAAATCAGCATCTCCATAAAGCTTTTCAGTAGAAGGAAGTACTCAAGAATTTCTTGGTAGATGGCTGCATTGACTGTGGACTTCAGAAACACATTGGATCAACACCGTTAGATATCATGGCACCCCATGGGGTACATGTGAAGTGAAATGAAAAATAAAACCTTTATTATTGAGAAGCTGTAGGAGTAATGAAGTGAATAAACTGATAATTCATTTTTAGGGCTGGGTCAGATTTTTATCAGTTAAATATGGATCTGCATTCCAGGAGCAGAGAACAGCAAGCAAAATTGAAAAATGTCAGGAGTTTATAAATTCAGTGAAATAATCATTTACTATAATTCAGTTTTATTAATAACCATTGCGACTTTTAAATCATTTACAGCAAGGAATTGCTTTAAATCAAAAACATGTAAAGTGGCGTGCATAAATCACCCCTTGAACTTTTCATATTTTGACATGTCACAATCACAAACTTCAATGTAATTCTCAATGGAAAGCACTACATGTGATGAAAAACTAATACTGCAGCGAAGAATAGTGGTGGCAGGATCATGCTATGGGGATGATTTTCTTCAGCAAGAAGAGAGAAGTTAGTGAGTGTTCATTGTAAGATAGATGGAGCTAAATAAAAAGGCAATCCTGAAAGAAAACCTGTTTGAGCATTCAAAAGATTTTACACTGCTATAGGGATTTACCTTGTACCAGGACAACAACCCTAATGATATAGTCTGTGCTACAATGAAATGGTGCATAAAAAGCTTGTACATGTGTTAGAATGACCTTAAATTAATAAAGAATCTGTTACAAATTATGATCTCCAGCTAATCTGACTGGATTTGAAGAGATGTGTAAAGCTGGTAGAGACATACCCCAAAAGTGTTAGGGCTTGGGAGATAGAGGACCCCAGAATGCAGACTAGCAGGCAGCATGACGGTAAGTGAAAAAAAAGGATTTAATGAATAAAAAACAAAAACTCACTCACGGAGGAGGCAGGAACAAAATAGAAACAATAAACGGGCAAGCAAAACATGCAAAATCAGACATGGGCAGAGTGGCAAGATAGGCTTGGCATGAAACACATGAGCATGATCCAGAAGACAAGATATGGTTTGAAAAATGTTTCCGTGCTAAATAACTGAACAGGAGTGTATATATGGAGAATAAACCAGGTGGAGCAAGGAGACAGATTAGCTTGGAGCAGGTGAACCGGATAAAGATAATTAACAGACAGAACACAACATGACAGGGGCAAACCAGAACTTCAAGGATAAAAACAAATAGAAATCTAACTAGAAAAACATGAAACCAAAGCATAACCAGAAGCCCAATCCAAATACACAACTAAGCAAAACATGAATACAAAAACTAAAGCATGACCAGGAAAACACACAGAAGAATGATTCAAAACCTTAACTGTGAAATAAAACCAACAAAAACCCAAAAACACCCACAAATCATAACAAAAAGACTTGCAGTTGCAATTGCAGAAAAACATGCTTCTGCAAGTACGCAGGGTAACTAAAAACAAACACATGCCACACTTTTTTTAAAGATGTTTTGCAGCAATAGTGGCCTTTATTTTGTCATTTTTCTTTGAAAGTAAAGGTGAAGACATGCAGCATAGGGTGGCATGGCTGGGACTCGAACCAGAAGACAGCCGTGGTCAAGGGCCAAGGCCTCTCTATACAAGGGCCGTGTACTCTACCACTGCACCAGCACCGTGCCCAACACCATGCTTTTCAGATTTATTGGAAACAGCAAGTATCCATTTTTTTTCGAACACTACTGCATAATTTGTTTAGATGGCGGTCATTTGGGGGGCCCTGCAACAACACAGCACCAAGACCTTTATCTGAAGCATCAGTTTGTAAAACAAACTCCTGCTGGAAATCAGGGCAATGGAGCACAGGATCTCAGCTTAGGGCCTGCTGAATGTCTTTAAATGCCGACTTAGCTTCATCAGACCACCGTAGAACGTTTGGGCCGCGAAGACTGGTCATGTCTGTAAGAAGAGAAGCTCTGGCAGAGTAATTGGGAATAAATCTGTGGTACCAACCAGACATACCCAAGAAGGATTTAAGTTGTTTTCTTGTCTGTGGAAGGGGGCAGGACTGGACGGCTTCAATTTTTTGAATATGTGGCTTCACCAGTCCTCCTCCAATAACAAAACCCAGGTACTCCGTCTCCCTCTTTGCAATGGCACACTTTGCTGGATTCACTGTCAATCCTGCTTTCTGTAGACACTCAAAGACCACTTTTAGGTGTTGCAAGTGTTCATCCCAACAGTTACTGTAAACAATGATGTCCTCCAGATATGCAGAGGCAAAATGTGAGAGGCCATTGAGTACCTTATCCATTAGGCGCTGGAATGTGGCAGGAGCCCCATGAAGTTCAAACGGCATCACTATAAAGTGGTAAAGGCCCCATGGTGTTCTAAAAGCTGTCATCTCTAGACCTAGAGGAGAGTGGTACCTGCCAATAGCCTTTGGACAGGTCGATTGTGGTGAGGTATTTTGCTTTACCAAGTTTCTCAATCAAATCATCGATACGAGGAGTTGGATAGGAATCAAACTTTGAGACTGAATTGAGGAAGTCAATGCAAAACCTAATTGTTCCATCCTTTTTAGGGACGAGGACAATTGGATTGCACCACTCGCTCTGTGATGCCTCAACAATTCCAAGAGAAAGCATTATCTCAATTTCCTTTTTGAGTGGTTCCAGAAGTCTTTCAGGAATGCGATAGCTCATTCGTTTTGGAACTGCGTCTTCTTTTAAGGCAACATCATGCATTATCACATCAGTATAACCTGGATTCTTCTGTTGGTCCCAATTTCCCCATTGCCTCATAAGGCCCTTGCCACGTAGCAAACAACTTGCTATCCTCTGAAGGCAGCATAACAAGCACTTTTTGGCCCAGTTTGAACCCCCTCTCCCAGGCTACAGTGTCATACCAGGTCTTCTGTTTACGCTGTGAGGTCTTCATGTGCTCCTGGGCCATTGTTGTCATCTTCTCCATCTTCTCCCTCATCTGGAGCACATAAGATACAACATTTAGAGAATCTTTGTTAGTTTGTTTCCCCTCCCACAGTTCCTTTAGAACTGTCAAGGGTCTCCTCACTTCATAACCAAATACTAATTCAAATGGGGAAAACCCAATAGAAGCTTGAGGAACTTCTCTGTATGCAAACAGAATATATGGAAGCCATTTGTCCCAGTCAGAGCCAGTTTCATTCACAAATTTCCTTAGCATTTGTTTAAGGGTTTGATTAAACCTTTCAGTGAGTCCATCAGTTTGTGGATGATAAGGTGTTGTTCTCAGTCCTTTAATCCCTAGCAACTGATACACATCTTTAAGCAATTTTGACATAAAATTGGTGCCCTGGTCAGTGAGTATTTCCTGAGGAAAGCCAACTCTGGAAAAAAATTGCACCAAACAGAATGCAACATTCTTTGCTCTGACAACTTTCAGGGGGAACACTTTTGGATATTTAGTTGTGTAATCCCCAATCACCAGCATAAACCGATTTCCAGCTTTACTCCTTTCCACTGGTCCCACTATGTCCATGCCCAGGTGTTGAAATGGTGTACCCAGAACTGGAAAAGGTTGGAGAGGAGCTTTATTGGGCAGCCTGGCTGATGTAACTTGACATTCTGGACAGCTCCTGCAAAACTGCACAACATCTCTACGCAAGCCAGGCCAATAGAAACAGCGCTTTATACGGGCTAAGGTCTTATGCTTCCCCAGGTGGCCAGCCCAGGGAATAGAATGGCCCAACTTCAAAACTGTTTCTCTCAATGCTTTAGGAACCGCCAGCTGTTTAATTGGTCCATTTTGTCTGTAGAGAATGTCATTCTGAATGACAAAATCATTTTTGTTGACTTTTGCCTCTTTAAAATACTTCACAAGATTTGAATCCTGGTGCTGCAGCTCCAATATATTACCAGGAATTTCAAACTCTTGGAGTACCTCAGGCTGTGGGGTGTCAGGAGGAACTACCACCGTCCCTTGAAACTTTTCCTTCCAGATAAAGCGGAAGACGACGAGTACGAGTACGAGTATGTATAGTGTCATCTGAAACTAATAAATGTAAAACAATGAAACAATAACAACACTTTGTGGTGGTGGTAGAAGCATCCACCACAGGTTTCTTAAATAAAATCTCAATAAAATACATGGCATTGAGGTTCAGTGGTAATTTACTTTACCAGGGTACACTGGAAAAAATAATCACAACCCCAAGCAAGATCTTGAAAACACTGAGAACCAATCAATATAATAAGTGAGGGTTAGAGCACATAGAACACGCAGATAAAAATCTGTAACCCTTTCATTTTAGCTATACCTTGCAAACAATGACAACTCTTTGGATTTTTGGTCAGAAGTTATTCATTTAAAGATAGAAGATATGAAATAATGAGTGGATATATTGTATTAAGGAATGGGTTATTATATTTTTCTGATCTCATTACAAAAATGACTTTGTTATTAGAACAAGTATATGGTTCATGGTTACACAGAAAGAAAATATTGTTGTCATAACATAATACAATATTAATAATGTATGTTAAAGTGAACACAATAACAGCTAGAAATAGGATTTTAGGCTGATTCAAGTGCAGTTGCTTTATGCAATAAAATCAACATTGTATGGAGTAAGATCAATGCTGCAAACCAACTTAAATACTTTGTCACTGTACTTCGTGCAGGCTTGCATATCCATATGTTTGACAATGATTCAGCCATTCTTTTCAAACTCAAGTTTACATGCTACTGTCTTTTTTATGCAAAGCTTTAATGTTTCCTGCTTGCAAAACTGAGAATAAAAACAGGCACCCTCATTCTACTTCTGGCAAAACAGCCGGGCCATCACCAACAGATCCTTAAAACCCTGTCAATTGTGGGATCTATATGATGATGTTTTACCACAGATAGCAATAAATCCTACCAGAGTTCTATGAATGTTGTGAAGTTTGGAGGCTGAATACTTGTCTGGTTTCCTTATTTGTGGAGCTCTAAGCTAAGCTAGAGGAGGATTTCAAATGAGGGTTATATAAGTGAAAAAACTCTGAACATTTTGTTAGTTAGCTACAAATGGATGTGCCTTTTCTGTAATTTTCCATGGTACAGTACTCAGATGAGTATGCATGTATTCTCTGCATACCCAGTTGGAAGAAACCTAGACTTGTGTTTTGTCCTCTACAAAACAATTTAGTTTCTGTTCCTTTAATAACAACTTATCAATGTTGGTACATTAATACCTCATAGCTTCTAATTGGGCGGAAGATTTGGGCATCCCCTACTTCTGCTGGCCACACACAACCAAAGACAAACCTCGTAGGCCATTCTCTAAAATACTCCCATTGACTGAACGTTCAAATAAGCCATAGAAAACTTGATCTGGTCTGTGCCGTTCTCGGCAGAAAACCTTATCACTACAGTTTGAGTGATAAGTGGTAAAGAGCTATTGAAAACAAAGCGTAATCTTTACAGAGATGGGAAACTTATAAAAAATATTAATAATTAAAATATTAGTAATAAAGACAATTACAGTAATGTATGGTTTTATATTATGCCGTATACAATGAAAGGATGACTTTTGATTCCCAGGGTTTAGCAATACCACAACAAAATGCACTGTTGCAAATAGAAAAATCTCTACATGCTCTTATTGCCAGTTGATGTCAGTGTCCAGGAGGCATTTAACTGTTTGAGCACTATGAACACATGACAATGAAGTGTGACATCATCAGGGGAAAAAATGCACTACAGGAAAGCATATCCACAAACATTCTATAGACAAGGCAATTCAGAAAATTAAAAATGCTATTAGGGGATTAAATCAAAAACAAATGCTAGAAATATAGTGTGTTTAGATTGTGTCCTGCTTTCAAATCCTTGAGATTTTGTAAGATTATCCCTTTATGTTGGATCAGTCTCATTTTATATCTGGTAGGATTATAATTTCTGTCCAAGAAAAGAAACAAAAAACAAAAATGTACTAAGTACATGACCATCTTAGCTAATCTTTGCCATCTTAGCTAGGAATATGGAAATGTATTTTGTTGTGTGCATATAACATATATAAAGGAAGCAAGTGCATCTAGATACAATGCCATGAAAAGTTATTTGCCTCTTACAGTTTCTTTCTATTTCTATTTGTTTTCACACCTAAATGTTTCTGACAATCCAGCAAATTTTAATGCCAGAGATAACCCGAGTCAATATAAAATAAATGTTCAACTTTTTTTGAGGTTCTTGTTTTTTTTAAAGGGAAAATGATACCCAAACCAACATGACCCCCTGTGAAACAGTACCTGCCCCCATAAACACAATACCAGCCTGTGACAAACTTGATGACAACAAAAGCCATGAAGTATTTGAAGTAAATTGGAACAAGTGTTTTACATCAATGTGAGGCCAAACTGGACCACTCTTCTTTGCAGAATTATTTTAATTCAGCAAAACTGGAAGGTTTTCATACTGATTAAGTTCATGACACAGCATCTCAATTGGATTAAAGTTCAGACTTGACCAGGCCATTCTTAAACATTCATTTTGTTTTCATTATTTCCTTATTTTAAGTCATTTAAAGGTGGACTTAAGTGCCTTGATTCAGATCACTGTCATTCTGCATAACTCAAGTTAGTTGCTAGAGCTTAAGATCACAAACTGGATGTTGTTGGACATTCTCCTTCATCCTCCTGTTTAAGAGCAGACTTTTTTT